CAAACCATTTGTGGTTTACCCATTCCCCAAAAATTCATTGCTAAACAGAAGCAGTGGGTGGGGGGTCAGTACCTTTGGAAATGTTAGCTCAGAAAGTCTAGAAGAAAGAGCGAAGAAGTGCCACAGTATGTACCACGTGACACCGTCACATGACTTCTCAGACACACTAAGATCTGGAGACGGAGTCTGATTTCCTATAAGCATATTTTCAGAGCCAAACTGACCCTCCAGAAGAGGTCAAAATTCCTAGCGTTTATTCCCATGGTAGACATCCAATTCGTATTGGAAACACACATTTCAAAAGATTTCTAGTGATTTCATTTGGCTCGCAAGTAAAGGGCCTACATTAGAAAGAAAAAAAAAGAAACAATTTTTGATGGTGGAGTTTTGTACTGATGAGTATTAAATTATACCCAAAAGCCGGTCATTTGCTATTCCTTAAATACCGTAGCCCAAGTCAAGTAAAGCATGGATTACAACCACCTTCAATAACACAAGTGCACACAAAGAACAATACAGCCAGCTTCAGGTAATTTCCATGTAACAGATAACATCTGGGGGAAATGCAGAAAGTAAGTTATGCAAAACTAATTTGCAAGTGACCACATCTGTACTGTGGACGTTATTTATTGCATGTTCACTTAACAGTCCATTATTCTGTTTAGAACTCGCTTCTCTTCTTTATTAGAGTTTTTAACGTGCTCACCTTGGTTCCAACGGCCTGCTCATAATCAGGGGGGGGGGGAGTCTAAGTGGCATTCACGTGGAGCAACGTGGCTGTTTTTATTATATCCGTTTGTGTGCAAGCATTCAGAAATGGCAAGAGAAACATTGATTGCTTTGCATCCAAAGTAATACTTAGGGGTGTTTGAATGTCAAGCAAAACCAGTCATTTGGCCAAATGGATGTGTGTATATATCAGAAAGTCCTACCTTTTTAGCTCAGCATTAGGCCTGAGGCAAGTCTCTCAAAGCACTTCCCTTTGGTTCTTGGTCTGAATGTCTTAGGTGCTAGTCTCCTGTGGAAAGGGGGTGGGGGTGAGAAGTGGCTAAATCCACACCAAACATGCTGTTTGTTGGTGTTGTTGCTGTTGTTTTATTTTTTACATATGCTTACTTTATCATTTTTCTGTTTCTATTTTCCCAATTTTAAAAGGTAACACATTAGACTTCTGAGGGGGGAAAATATGAGACAATTGCCATTCTACGGGAATGTATAAAAATAGTTATAAAACTGGCTTTATTTAATTTGCTTCAACTATTCGTAGACTTGAGGAAATTATAATGTTCTCTCAGAAAATCTAACTCAATAAAGCTGACCATGTCTCTCTGTCTTAAATAGATTTTATTACAGAGCCAGTGATGTTGTAAAACATGAGGTTTTGTTAAAAAAATACAAAGGCCTAATTGTATTTTTTAAAGAAAGTAGTATTGCATCAGACGGTTTTATTCTAGCATGTTTGCTGGCTCCGCGTGCTCACCAAAATTATTGATTCTAATTCCCCTTGGACTTTTTTTTTTAAGGAAAGCGATCACTTTCCATAGAGAAAAATTCACTGTGATGATACTTGGGATCTTTTTGTTTATTTCAAACTCTGTATTTAAAACTGCACCTTCGTCTACTGCCTAGCACAGCTAAATTTAATTCTTTGTGAAAGAGAGAAACAGCTGTGGTTCGGTTCATTAACAGTATGCAGAGCATGCAAAGAAAAGAAATTCTCACCCCCACTCCTGTGCATGAATTGAATCAATTTAATAGTTACATGAACTACACACATTAAAAAAATCGAGAAAGAAAACCTCAACTGTCAGCCATAATTTCAGTTTCTGGGAATAAATGCAAGCTTCAGTCTACCAAAGAAAGGAATCATGGAACCAGAGATCCAAGTCTTCACGTGGGTGTTAGGGCACATGTGTGCATGCACGTGCACACAGATGCACCTTAACACATTCATTCACACGCACATACACATATATACACACACAAAATTACACACAAAATACATTCACATACATTGACTCATACACATATACATTCATACACATGTGCACATCATATATACATACACACAGATACATATGTCCATATATACATACTCCTATACATACACTCATATGCACATATACACATAGACACACACAGTTACACATTTACACAGACACATCACAAATACATACACATACACTCATACACATAGACACATATACACACTTCACATACATACACACACACATAGAGAGAGAGAGAGAACAAAGGCAAAAAAGAAATAAAGAAGAAAAGAGGGAGAAAGGGAAGAAGGGACAGAAGAAAGGAGGGAAGGAGGGATGGGCCTAAGCTGTTAAGGTTCTGGAGGACTTGAGTTCAATTCCAAGCAACCATATTAGGAGCCTCAAAACTACTTGTAACTACAGCTCTATGGGGATATGATGCATTCTTCTGGCATCCAAGACACATACATACATACATACATACATACATACATACATATCCTTTAAAAGGAAATCTATCAATCAATCCAGACCACAGGGGTGTGGGGGAAAGAATGTAAGACTTGAACACAAACATCTGTTTGCATTTAAGTGTAGAATCTGCGGAGAACTGGGGCACCGGAGGGCAGATCGTGAGCCCTGCTTCACCAAATGGAGACACTCTCTGGAAAGAATGTCAGTAGATGAGGGTAAACAGGCAGAAAGCCCCAGCCTGTGTGCCCAGAGCACAGCGGCCATGTGGGTGACAGTGAAGGAGACGACCTTGTACCTCAATGAAAAGAAAACCATCCCCGCCCCACTCCCGCCCACCAGCACATGCTCAGAGCTTGCAGCCAATCCCTCAGCTCCGATTCTTCTTTCCAGTGTCTCACTGGTCACCGGCACCCCCAAACACACCCTACCTTACATACACTCTGTTTCTCACCATGTATTAAAGCCCGTGACTCCAAGCTAACACCCCCTTTTCTTTTGTCATTGGATTCTCATGGGATCTTCTTCATTTCTCCTGCAAGATTTCTGAGGCCACTGAAGCATGATTCGCCTCCATCTTGCCTGGGAAAGCAAAGAGCAATAGATTTTGGAGTTTGCAAGCCAAGCACGGGGTGGGGGCGGCAAATGACGGTGAGAAGATGGGGTTCCTTCGCCCCTCACTCGGCCAAAAGCAACAGCTTGTTCATGTTAAGAGAAGAAAGCCCCACTGCCCTGATGTCCCCTCAACCTTCTGATGTATGGGGAGTTTACTCAAGATAAACAGCGAGAGTGATGTCATCCAACAGAATAAAAATTAAATGCTTAGCAATAGCGATAATTTCCCAGGATGGCTACTTGATGACGTATTGCAGCTTACTGAAAACAGCAAAAGCGAAGAAGTCACTGCCCCAGGCTTTAACGCCACAGCTGTCACTAAGCAATTATTTGATCTTAGACCAGTCCCTTCAGCTCACAATTGTGAATATCCTTGCTAGCGTATATCTACAATTGAAGAGCAATTTCTCATATGCTTGCAAAATAAATAAATAAATAACAATATAAATTCAGTCCAAATGCACACACACGGGCCAAGCCAGGGAACAAATCTACCTCTAGCACGCTTCAAAGCCTCTAAAGGACAAACATGAATATTTAAATGATGGGACATAACACAGAGAACTTAAGAACGAATGTACAATTCTTTCATGGTTTTCTCCCCACCAGCATCCTAAGATGGTAATTAGGGGGTGGGGTACACTTTCCCAAAACTCTATCTTCAAATTTGTATGCTCAGGTCCAACTCTGTCAGCACACTGGCGAGTGACCACATCTCGGGGCTCCACTAACAGGCCCGTGGGAGTCTGCTATGTAAACTGGAACAAGTTATTGATTTATAGGGAGGTATGCGAAAGAATTAAAAACCAGAACACTCAAGTAGGCTTGTCTTTGCCGATCAACTGAGATGGGAAATTAAATTACGGTCAAAAACATTGCTTGTTAGACATGGAATCAGGACAAGAGGAACTGATTAAATGACTCAGAGGTTTTAATGATGTCAGTGCTCTCGTCTCCTCTCTCACTCTACCTGGTGGTGGCCGGGTGGACCTTGCCAACACTCGCATCCATGGCTCTCCTCGCCCTTCACTGCCATAGTTGACGGTCTCCCTCCAGCGCGTTTACACCCCCTTGGCAAAGCTGTGGCAGCGGCTCGCCGTGAAGTTTTGCTCTGCTATGAGTTCTCAGTGAGCCCCTCTGATGATTCACAGTGCTCAGGCTTTATACGCACATTCTACTTCGAAGATTCTATTGCGTTCACTGCTCTGTTTCTCTCTCTCTCTCTCTCTCTCTCTCTCTCTCTCTCTCTCTCTCTCTGTGTGTGTGTATGTGTGTGTGTGTGGTGTGCATACACACACATGTAGCCACCTGCAAGTGGAAACCACAGGTCAAGTTTGCATCCTGCATTGCCCATCTCTCTTTCTTTTGCGACAATGGAGCTTCCGATGATCCTCGGGACCCTCCTTTCTCTGCTTTCCCAAGCACATACCGCCATGCTTGGCTTTTTTTTTTTTTAAATATAGGTCCTAGGGATCCAACTCAGATCCTTGGTAAGGCCAACCCCATTACTAGGTTGCTGATAGCCACTTTGCTGGTACCACAAGAGCATCGAGATCCTGCGCCAGGCTGTTATTGGGTGTAGAAAACACGGAACCATCTGCCAGAAATGAAGAAGACAGTTGCACAAGGGGTCTGAAGCTTGGCTCTCTCCCTACAGAGAGTTATAAACAGGGGTAAGAGGCAGGGGCAGGATGCAGACAACGGTGCAGATGAAGGAACCCTCAACCGCAGAAGACACAAACGGTAAGGTGACACCGACGGTGAGCGAGAGACGGTGCTTAGAAAGCAGCGGGCAACGAAGAGGGTAATGATATCGGAGAGTTGAAGCAGACGGTACTTAAGTAAGATACCAGGTTTGGAAATGCGCCAGTCCCGTGAGAGAGCTGGCTGCGCTAGTGCCCCTCAACCCAAGCTCTTCTTTTCCAGCAAACCATCGAAGTTGTCAAACCCGCAGACCACCCTTTTCCAGCCCCACTGGAGGAAGGAATCTCCTTGGACATATTTGCAGCCTTCATAGAGCCATCGCCCATACCAGAGACTGAACGGAAGGTAGGCTTGATGTTGCCTTTCCTTGCCTTGCTAAGTAAGCATTATACGGGCACAAGACGCAAAGAACCTCATGTTCTCCCATTGTCTTCACCTCTGACTTTTTCCTGGCCAACAGAAATATTCTCTTCAGAGTTGAATCACACACAGGCCAGCTAATGATGGTCAGGATTTTTGCACCCCCTCCCATCCAGGCTCCACCTTCCCAGGCCCCAAAGTCTCTTGTAATCTCGCGATATGTGGTAACATACAATCAAAGTCTCCTTCCAGTTCACCATTGCTCCTTGAACGGTGGTAGAGGGTAGAAGTGAGGTTGCCTAGTAGGCCCTGAGCACTCAAGTGCTCGCTGCAATGTGTTTTACGTTCAATATCCGCCTGTGTTTATTTCCAATGTCTTAGGCGCTGGATCAAGAGAAAAGCCCGCTGGAGGCCCAGGCAGAGAGTGAGACGGCAGAGGTGGATCCTTTAGGCGGCTTCACCATTGACGATGTAAAATCAGCCCTGGCTCGAGTGACAGATGAGGTTTTGTTGAACATTCAGGTACTGAGAATGGGCAGTGAACTGGGCACTACGCCTGGTGAATCAGCCAGCGCCAGCCTCCACATCTGTAAACACTGTCTGCCCTGGCCAGGCAGGAGCAAGGTTTACGGCTTGCATTCTTTATCTTACAAGGCTACATAATCCTCAGCTGAGTCGTCTGAAGTCAGTGAGATCACAAAAACAGATTTGCCGGCAGCACTTCGTGTGCTGTGTGTTATCGGCTTGCAAAAATCTGTCGACACTGAAACCCCAGAAAAACAGCACGGTGAAGACTTTGAGCCCCATTACACTGTAAACAGGCCTTACGCAATAGTAGGTGATGCAGGCTTCCAAAGAGCGAGCACTGCCGATCAAACCATCGTATTTAGCTAAGTCACCTCGCTCGGTTTCAGGCTTGAAATCCATCCCAAACACTTCCCATCTTCACACAGCACTAATTGTTAAGCCGTTGGCTAAGGTACCCTAAGAATGGGTAGTCGGCCCCACCTTTGGGCAGCTGCCCGTCATCTCCCAAAGGATAACTTTGTGTTTAATAGTTCCCTATTCTGTCCAAGAAACAAATGGCTACTATTACCTCCACGTAAAGACTTACAGGAATCCACGTGATTTTCTTAGCCAAATGCTTAAATAAAGTGAATTGCATGTTTTGAGAATTGACCACAAATCACCACAACACTTAAGCATCTGAGGGGAAGATTTATCTGTTATCTGAACTTGGGACCATATATAAAAAGCGCACTGTATTAATAACTAATTTGGGAAGCATAAAAGCTTAGGTTGTCCTAAGCATACCTTGTGGCTCGTTTAATCATCAAATGTTACTGCGATATTTACACGAACATTTAATGATCTGGTGCCAACAGAATCGGCCAAAGTCCCAAGCTTAATAAGGGGTGTTTAGTGTTTACCAGAAATAGTGGAAGAACACGTTTTACACAAAGGACTATTGTTAAGAGCCCTGCGAATGTAATAACTGGTTACTGTGGAGAAGGGCAGAGTGTAGCTGAATTAAGCTGAGTTCAGAACATACCTCCTTTTTAGATTTGATAACATTCCCTCTAAATATAGTTTATGTATAATCATGGCCCAGGGCTCCTTTGCAATCCCACAGCTCTGAAATTATTGCCGAGGAACTATTAGACAAGCAAGAGAATTGTTTGCGGGACCCACAATTGAAAACATCTTTCCCAAGCCCACGTTCCACGAAGGGAGCCCCACGGTTTTAGCTGTTGACTGATGATTTTCTTGTCGAGTGCTAGAGTCTGCAACACCGGTAGCTCTCTTCTTTGACAGAGAGAATAGGATTGGTATTCAGGCTTGCTATCTTCCCATTAGCAAGAAGCCATCCGGAAGTTCAATAGCTTGTACACCTAAGTGCAATTAGGAATGGAGAGAACATGGACCAGAGGGGCGACACCCAGACCCCTGTTGGTACTGTGAATGTCTCTGCACTGAATGTCTCTAATCAGCTCAGGCCAAATTATTGCTGATTTTTTTTTCCCCAACAAAATGGCAAGATGCTGTAGCTTTCTCCAGCATCTCTAGATAGCAAACCACACTCAGTATTTTCTCTCTGTAATCCTGCTGACCTCCATCCAAGTGAAGAGGGAGCTGCCGGTGACCAAAGGGACCCAGACAGGTTGCTGTTTGACTATGGTTGCCAAACTCAGCAGGCTCAGTAGGTGCTAGGAGCCTGGTCCCCCTTGCAGCTCCAGTGCCACCCGAGGAAGTCACCCATCTAACACCAGGCCCAGGCGACTTCGACTGTTAATACACCTGTGGCTCCATGCTTTCCCAGCGTCAACTTTCCTCTTGGACAAATTCCAGGTTGGGTCCTTGCCCTGAGCCTCGCTTCAGTTTTTCCCTCCGTGTCAGACAGGCTAAGCTACTTTCCACTTTGAAATGACCCTAGTTCTAAAAGCTGCCACACCCCTTTCCAAAACTGTGTGCTAATGGAGACTGGGCCCATGCACCTGCCATGCGAGCTTCGTGCATCTTGCGCTCAGTGTTGGTGATCACTCCGTGATATTTTCTCCTCTTTATTTAAAGTCACACTGTCACTGCAGTTTCTGCAGAAAAGGTCAACAGCGAGTTCATATTCCGCTCCATTGTCTAGAAGCTAGTTCTCTATTGTAACTCCAAACCGATATCAACTTCTCTAATACAGAACCTCCTGAAATGGAGTATAAACCCTTAATTTCTTTTATGTTCATCTACTTATTTTACCATGATTCACTTCACAGTTCTAGAGATTTATTGAGAATGAAGTTACCTTGGCCCTCGGATGTCAATTCAAATTACAGGAAATAGACCAAACATTTTAAGCCAATATAGTTTCGGTACTTTCATTTTAAAGATACATTCAAAATGAAATTAGTTCTGCCCTGAGTTGCATAATAAAAACAGCACCCAATAGAACAAACTTTAATATATTTAAAGAAGAATATTCTAGAGAAGCAGAAATGTTAACGCTGGACTCTTGCATTAAATGTTGGTCGTTGGCCCTGATACAGCCAAGGAATAAACTAACGTTAGAGAAGGTGAGAATTTGCCATCCTGCCATTTACAATGTCTTAGGTCAGCTTTCAATTGTCTGGGTTAGAAAAGTCATCTGAGGTCAGTGAAAGATACTGAACACGGGGCAGGGGCTTCAGAATAGCTCCTAAAGGAGATAGAATCAGACCCAGCCCCGCGTTGAAGGTAATGCAATTTATTCAGCAGCATTGTGGGATGTTACAAGGATGACGGCAGGCACCGGATCCAGGGAGGAGACGCAGATTCCTTTCCTTCAGGCTCCTCTGGTTTGTACCTAAACTAAAGTGCCAACCAATAAGGTCTGGAGGTCGGGACGCCTCCCTTCCTGCCAGTACTGTAGGCAGCTAGGGACACACTGCCTTCCTCGACCTTCTCTTTAGAGCCCACATGGACGGTAATAAACACAAGGAGAGCTCCCAGATCCTTGTGAAGACGCTAGTGAGGATCCAGAGAGGACATGGCAGGTGACACCCCGCTATTGTTTCCTGGGAAACGTGAGGGTGTTGGGTGGACATAGAGCATCAGTGAAAGACAAGCCTGCCATCTGGCTAGAGCATCTCCCAATCCATTAGACCTGTGTCAAAATGATTTCTTCAAACGATTTCAACACCTCAATGGTGCAATATATCATAAATGCATGTTCAGTCGTAAGGTGAAATAATTTTTAATATTTCATAGTAATATATTAGTGAAGTGTATTGTGAAATCAGGAGTTGGGATTACGAATGCAATGTTAACTAACCTCTATTCACTACTTCATCTTCCAGTTCAAGACTAGGCAAATTGGGTAAGTGACTTGTCCAAAGTGGCCCAGCCTAACCAGTCATAGATGAGTTGATAGTACATAACCACGTTCCTTTTAATTCTGCTGCTAAAGTACCACACGGGAGTACCAGTGAAAAGGGTAACTGGAGGACCATTTTGTCCCTTCCCTTGCCTCATCCACTCACCAATAACAAAGAAGAAAAAATGAAGACACCATAAGTCAAAAGATGCTATCAGGAAAAAAAAACTTTCAAAGCCCTGCCCCGTTCTATACTCACATAACTCGTGAGTCTAGAATTGTTGACACCAACGTGACTGGCTAGAAAAATCAACTCTTTCTGTGATGGTAAAAACCAAATTTCATTAAAATGGCAATCAGGGGGAAAGGAAAAGCGTTTCAAAATCACCCCTACCATTTACTTTCTTAAAAATTACATAAATACATAAAAATATTTTCACCCTATCTGTCATAAAAACAGATAAAATAGTAGTGGTTTTTAATTTTCTCTATTTAAATTAAATATCAAAAGTTTCTCAGAAATCCAGTTACTATGAAGATTTTAAATTGTGTCATATACTTCAATATTCTAGACTTTGACTCATGAGCACACAGGAGTATAAAGTACTCTCCAAACACATGTAGATGTCCCCGAGTCACACAAACAGTAACAACAAGCCTCCCAACTACCATCGTCCCTGCATGCAGCTGTATTATTCATCTGGATGGAAGGAAGTGTTTCCTGAGCTCCCAGCGTTGAGATACGTCAAGACAATGAGGTGTATTTCTGAAATTGCGCAGGTAGTGATGTTAGTGCGCAGAATTATCACCACCAGAGGCTCAGTGCCGTCACAGCTGCCATGATTGCTAAAACCTGTCACCAATTGCTTAGGAGTTTCTTTCTTTTTTTCTTGCTTTTGTACCAAAAAATATTACAAAGTGGCATGCATGCAGGAATTGTAATGTATGATGAATACTCTTAATTATGAGAGCTGTCCTAATTATGAGATTATTTGTGTTACTATTTCACACACTGAAGCTTCCAGGAATGCCACTTAGAGTGCATTAGAGGGAAGGCCAACACGAAGGGTGGAGGGGCCCACAGCGCTGCATCAGCTGAGCCCAGAGCAGTTACTCGGATTCGGCCCTTATTGGCAACTGTGTCTGGAAATGCGGGTCAGTCATCCTATCTTCCAACATGAGGCTGTGTGCAAAGATGGCTGTCCGAACACCACTTCCTGTCCGCAGGAGACATGCTATACATTGGAAATGTGCAGAGAAATACGATCAAGCGTTATCGTATCCCCACAGGCTGGAGCACAGCTGTGTCTGCAAAACAGGAAGGTGTGTGAGGGATAATGTCTGTCTTTAGGCACTATAGTATGTCAAAACCACAAAGACAATGTGCAGCCAAAGATAGCTCCGTCATAACCACTTTTTTTTTTTTTTATGATTGCCTCCACAGAACGAGATAAAGGAAAAACTGCAAGTCCAGGAAGAGGCCTTCAACGCACGAATAGAGAAACTGAAAAAGGCCTGAGGACTCGGAACAAGCAAAGTGATGCCGAACTTCAGAGAAACAGACAAAACTGGCCAGAATAATCGATTCTCTGGAGTGCTGTGTTGCCTCCACGCAGCCGTGAAAGGAAAGCCCACTTTTCCTCATGCAGACTGATTAGCACCGCACTCTCCTGCCCCTCCTGTCCCACACCCACCTCTGAGTTTGCAGCGCCAAACGCAGCTACACTGCTCGGTGTGGAAGAGTCTGGAGCGTCACATAGGAAAATATAATTACTGTTAGGACTGCTCTATGTCGTTTTGACTAATAAACACTATTCCTCTTCTATGGGAATGAAACCAGTCTTTTGAAATAACCCCCCAAAAATGTAGAAAAATAAATTTTTACCATTTTGGGCTAGATGGCCTGTCACATTGGGGTAGCACTGTGAGGAGGGGCCACACCTTACTGTGATGGGCAGGCTTGCTAACAACAGTCATCTGGTCATCCTGGCGCATACTGCAGGGCTGCTTTTGTTTTGTTTGTTGTTGGGTTTTTCTTTTCTTATTTAACTCATTTGAGGTTCTTATTTAAACGTTTCAGTGTGAAACCAATTTTCTGAAATTATATAATGCAGTTTGAAGCATTTTAATTTATTCTGCACTGTATTTGCTGTTTCTAATCTTGTTACCCTCCCAGGAGAACACATGACCTATATAAAAAGAAGCAATGTATAAATGATTATTAAAGGCCAATCTATATATAGATTGTAAAAATTTTAAATACAAATCAAACTCAGAGTTCCTAAAATTAACCATTGTACTACACTGGGATGATGGGTGCATGGGGGGGGGCTTAGGAAAAAAATACCCTCAAGCCTTTAAATACCCTTATGAAAACACAATTTCAGGATGAAAATAGCTACGCGCCAGTGGTTTGCCCCTAGTTGGAAAGATTAATTAACCGCTACCTAGACCCTTTCCTATGTTCCTAGACTTAGGAATATTCTAGAATGAGGACACAACATTGCTGAAGGGAGAGAAATCCCTCAGGAATTTTTGAGGTGTGTGATTCTGAGTGACACTTGGTTGGATATGGGCAATGGCCTTACTCTCTAAGTCAGGATCCAAGGAACCTCCCAGGACATGTTCTTCTGGGACAGAGGTAAAGCCCACAGCATTGCTGCATCCTCCAGCTCCAGAGGAATTCTTAAGATAAAGGCTTGCTTGCTTTTCATGCAAGAGGCCAGGGACTGCCTACCCGAACCTCAGGCTCCTCTTCCTCAGGAAATATGGAAGGCTGTAAGAGACCACCAGGAGGGCCCCTGAGCTGCATTCCCTTAGCTGTCTTTTCTCGAGAGACAGCAGTGACTCTGAAGAAACCAAGGACAGGTAATAAATATTTAAAAGAGAATTAGTGGATCATAGCTTTAAATCCAGTTGTATAGGCAGAGACTGCTCTTTCGTTTCTAGGCTTGCCAGACCCAAATAATAACACAGAAACTATATTAATTACAACACTGTTTGGCCAGTTGCTTAGGCATATTTCTAGATAACTTTTACATCTTAAATTAACCCATTTCTATTATTCTGTGTATTGCCATGAGGCTGTGGTCTACTGGTAAGGTTCTGGCTGTCAGCTGGAATCTTTCTCCTTCGACAGCTACATGGCACCTCCTCAACTCAGCCTACTTTCTCTCTAATCTCTATTTGGATTTCCCATCTGGCTTTACTTACTAAGCCACTGGTTGAAACGGGTTCTTTGATAACCAACGGTAATAAAACATATTTATAGCATACAGAGAGGAATCCCACATCTCCCCTTTTCTTTCTAAATAAAAAAAGTTTTTAACTTTAACATAGTAAAATTACATATACAAAACAGATATCAAGCAATTACAGCTATATTATTTATATCTACTTTATCTTTTATCATAACTAAGGAACTATAATTATAACTATCTATTCTTCAACTCCATCAAAGACCACAGAAAAAATATAATATTACCTAAGTAAACAGGAAGTGCATTGTAAGCAACTTCCGAAGTTTTAGAATTGACAGAGACATCTCGCTGGGTTCAGCAGTCCTCTTCATGAGTAGAGAACTGGAATTGAATCCAGCAGCCAAGGGCCCTGCGCATGCTCTTACATCTGCATATACAGTACATGCGACCATGCCCAAACTGAACCAGTATCCTAAAGAAGGAGTTCCCTCAGCACAGTTATGCATAATCTACAGAGGATAAAGGCAGAATGTAGAGAAACTTTACAGTGATTTTCCCATTATTGCAAATCTGGTCATCGGTAGATTCAGATTTTGAATCTGGAGTCACGTAATCAAAGTTGATAGACCCAACCTTTGTCTCCATCTGTCTCACAGTGAAGATGAAGTATTTTTTGCCTATGTATGATACTGGGACACTTGCTTACATAAGCAGCACATTCAGCACTTAAGAGGATCACAGGACCAAATGATTAATCTACCCAGCTCCATCTACCCAGTCCTCGGTGGGATATTCAACTGAGCATGCCTCATGCGGCTGGATATTAGCTGGTCATCTGGAGACAAAATTTGTCTCTGTCCTGACTACAGGTCACAGAGAACACCATGGCAATAAAAAATAAATAAATAAAACATTTCAGGGAGTTAGGGGCACACTGAGCGAAGCATCCTGCCCTAGCCTTAGAGGTTAAGGAGGAGTTATCCATGCAAGCTCTTGCAGAGGACTGGCACCTAAGAGACCCAAAGGATACTCAGTGGAAGGTGCAGGAAGATTCACTCCAGGGAGAGAGAGAGAGAGAGAGAGAGAGAGAGAGAGAGAGAGAGAGAGAGAGAGAGAGAGAGGTGCAAGGTCCCTACAGTACAAGTGAAGCCTAAGTAACTGGCCAGAACCAGAGCTCTCATAAGGTCATTGGACACATTTTTTAGCCTAAAATAAAGCAAGAAAAAATTGCTAGCAAGTTTTACATAGAAACATTAGATTGATGTTTCTAAAAGATTAGCCCTCTGGTACCAAGACTGCCATCCATGAATCCATGAAAAGAAAATACTCTTATGAAAAGACACCTAATGTTATGAGGTAATATAGTATCACTTAGCAATTCTAAAGAGGTGGGGTAATTTTTTTAAAATGACTTTAAGCTGCATGGTCTCTTGACTCTAAGTGGAGAAGGCAGTCCACTGAAGAGACAATTAGAAATAATATCTATTTATGCCTGGGACAAGATTCAGGCTTTCTCTCACTGTCCCCACATAGGAATCACCCATCAGGGATTTTCTCCCTCGCTTCAGAGAGCAATCTTATTGGCTGTATCACGAGCAAACTCCAGCTGCCACTGCTTCAGGTATTTGCAGGTGTGGTCACCCCTGACAACCACGGTGTCGTCATTTCTCCAAATCTCAAATGGGGAAGCCCTATCATCAACCACCTGATTGGCACCTCTCAGCCATAGTGAAAGTCACGGAGTTTACCCCTTCTCGGACGGCATTCCGAGATGCTTCTGTTTCCCTGGAGAACAAACACAATTCTGGATCTTCCAGGGTCTCTGGAGGATAGCCTCCACTTGACATAAAAGTCAATGGTTTTTCCTCAATTAATTAATTTAAATAACTCAGTGATACCTCCTTGGTGGCAGCCAAAATATCCATTGATTTCCATTCCCTAAGCAAAATCAATCTAGCTTCGAAGAATCTCATCTCATTGGGATTTACAACTTCCCAAACAAGGATCAGATGCTAAAAGTTCAATTTGCTTCCAGCATCCCTTGCCTTTCCATGGAAGCGCAGCCGTTGGTAAGGCTGGTTCACCACACTCAGTCAGAGTTGTGAAAGAGATTTTGTATTTCTATTAATGTGTAGCTTCAGAGCCTACGCCATGAAATTGTCCTCAGTGGTCAGTCTAATGCCTGTATCTTTAAAAAAAAATCTAATCTAATTTATTTGGGGAAGTTTCTCAGTATTAGGATGAATAACACCGATAAAGTCCCTGAGTGCATGCAGCTAAGAATGGTTATCCCCCAATGGCAGATGATGAACAAGTGAACGAAAGGGTGATTCATACAATAAGCAACAACATATGTGAAGGACAGAATGCACAGGAGAGACAGGGTGAAGAAACGTGCTTCTGCTCAGCCTAGGATACTCTGAGGAGAGCTGGGAAGAGGTCATCATAGAGTCAAGAGAGAAGGAAGAGGAGGAGGAGGAGAAAAAGAAGGAGGAGGAGGAGGAGGAAAGGAGGATGAAGGAAAAGAGGGAAAGGAAAGGGAGGAGAAGCCATCAAACAAAGCCCATGCTTAGGAACATTTGCTCTGGGCTGCAAGGACGCCGGTGAAGGAACCTTGCTGCCAAGGAGAACTCTGGTTACTCCACGCAGCTCTGAGAGAAAGGGGTGTGTGCAGGGTCGTGTCCCTGAGAAAATGACCGTGCTAGTTTTCAATCTCAAACCCTGGCACTTGGTGCTCTTTCTAGTGCATCTGGTCAGCCTGGTTATTGACCCTAGTCTTCAAAAAAAAAAAAAAGATGCAGATGTGTAGCCACAATATATATATATAACCCATGAAGTATAATCAGCTCCTCTGCCTACAAAATCTTTGAGGAAACTTCCCATGTAGAAGAATTACACATAAATTATGTAGGTCTGTTACTCTAAAGATGGTGCCCTATTAGTCCCACCTGTGTGGGGACGGATGGAGTGACTTGCTTCCAAAGACTAAGGGGTGGAAAAGGAAGAGACGGGAATCAGACCCTCACAGAGAACATCCCTGATCAACCCTATCTCTGGTGGGTAGTCCAGTCCATCATTGTCATCACAAGTCATGAAAATAGTTTCCCACCTCCATCATCTCCCTTCTCAAGTAAGGGGAAATTGCACAAGAAAATACCAAGAAAATCCTGGTGGGGAGAATTACTGTGAGTCAATGATGCTGCCCAATGCTCTCAAAGGTCATCAGAAATGAGGGGTGGGTGAATTTGAGAAGACATGATGGCCTAGCGGACTTTGGTAACTAGATGGTTTTATGGAACACAAAAGAAACACACAAGCTATGAATAAATGATGAATTTGCACAAAAATCCTTCAATACCAGTTAATTAATTTAACCAAGTGCATCATACAAAGGTAAGGTTTGCAACAATGCAAATAATTAGTAATAATTGGGAGGGAGGGATGGGGGAGACCATGTGTGTCTGTGACACCTGCCTGATTTGTCTACATATCTAAAATGGCTCTACAAAATTAAGATCTATTAATTAAAAAAGGGAATATTGAACGGAATAAAACAAAGTAATTAGGAAGAAAAATGATCCGTGTCACACTGTATCATTAATGAAATGACCCTGCCTCTAAAT